GCACATCATCAGCATATCCACTGGCCCGTTCTTTGTTTTTCTCTGTACATTTCACCCAACTGATAAAACTCAGAAAGTGTGGAAGGAAATCCCAGCCCTAAGAAGAGGGAAAGGCACTTACCTTCAAAAGCGTTTGGAGTTGAGCAATTCCCATCCTGGGAGGACCGGGCTGGCATCATCTGGGAGGCATTGGGCTGAATTGGCTGTTTGGCTCCAAAGGATGCAAATGCAGCTTATGTGAGCTTGGCGGAAACCCAGGCACGCATGGGGTCTCAGGTGGCTTCCTGGGAGAGTGGGCTTCCAACAGGATGGGCTGCACTGATGGGAGGGGAGGAGTAGGGAGGAAGCAGACCACCACCCAAAAATCCCAGGGGGATTATATACCACATTTTTCTGTCCCTTTAATGAGCCCTGCCTTTCACTATTCTGACCCTGCCCCACTTCCACCAACTGTGTGGGCATGTTTCTTATCAGTGGAGGCTACGGTTGAGAACTCAGACTCCTGTGTCTTGGGAAGATGTTTTTGCCTAGGATATTTGTGAATAACGGAGCAACTGGAAAATAAAAAAAAAAAAAGCAAAATGAAAAAGCCAAATTAAGTGCCAGCTTGGGAGAGAAGAGTTGATCCTCCCCCTTTCCTCCATGCCTCTATCAGAGTGTCTTACCACAAGGCCACCCTCCAAAGCCAGGTGTCCTGTGGTCAGTGGAGCTCCTCAGCTGTGGGGGAAAGGCCACCCAGGGAGGTGGCCAGTCTACCATGTGGGTGAGGAGCACGTACCTGATGTGGGCACCAGGCACCCAGAGAAAAGATGGGCCCAGTAGCTGAGTGGGGCCTAGGGTGCCCAACAGATATCAGCAAACAGGCTAGAAGGCCAGGCTGGGGCCAGGTGATGAGTGTCAGGATGCTTCCTAAAAATGTGTTCTCTTTTCAACTCCAGTCATCTTTGTAAATGATCATAAGAGCTATGTTCAGAATCTTGGCTGTCCTTCCCCAGGACAACAGGCTGGAGCCAGGGGCCTGGGGTGGGATGCATCACCCAAGCCTCTCATGCTCCACCCACTCCTCACCAATGTGGAACCCCCCCCCCCCAACTCCCCTTTGACTGACCTCCCATGTCCCACTTGCTCTGAAGTAAATGGAAAAGTCAGGAGACCTGACTTTGAGCCTCACTGCTCTTTGGCACCTAACTGAGAAACATGCCTCCCAGATGTGTGAGCACTCTTCCCATCTGTAAAGCAGCCCTTTCTTTTCTCTCTCTCTCTCTCTTCATCTCGTTATTAGACTGAAATAGACTGAAATCACCAAGGACAGATTAGTTACTCTCTTTCTTTAATATTTCTCCAAAGCATTTCCTTTCTACGCTTGTGGGTTGAGTGTCCAGCATAGAGGAGACAGGAAGAAAAACAAAAGTTTTACCTGCTTCACCCTTGCCCCCACCCCACCACCATTTCTTAAGTAATTCAATTATTGGTAGGGAATGAGCACCTCCCACTTCACTGCATTTGTGACATTGAATCCTGCAGAGCCAACCAGCACAACCTTTCTGAAAGGCAATTTGGTGGCATGTTTCAGAAGCTCTGGAAATGTGCAAATCCTTTGGCTCAGCAAGTTTTTAAAGAATTTATTGTAAGAAAATAATTATGAGATTCTATGAGTTATATGAGAAGTGTAACTTTAGGAATGTCCATTATTGTAGAAAAATGAAACTAGCATTTAAAACCTACATCCATAAATATATATACAGAAGAAAATACTTTAAAGGTATAAACACAAATATATTGACACTGTTAGCACACGATGAACAAATTTTATTTTCCTCTTTTCATTTATCAGTGTTTCCTAAATTTCATATACTGATGTAGTTTGTTTTATTATCTATAGATTTCTTTTTCAATCTAGAATTCCTAGGGTGTGAAGTCACCTGTTTGTTGAATCTGATGATTAATTCTCAGCAGTTTATATCCTAACCACCTGATTTCCACCCACTCTGCACACTCAATCCACAAATACATGTTGACTATCTACTGCTGGAGCTAGAAGCTCTTCTAGGGCAGTTGTCAAGGGCAAGGAACTGAATATTAATTTTATTTAATTTGTTAAATTTAAAAATTGATGCTATATTCAGTTATTAGAAGTTTTGACCTAACTTTGGCACAACTTTTTCAACTATAAATTTTATGAAATCTAAACACAGATTAAACATTTCTGATGAAAACTGAACATCTAAATCAAACTGTGCAGTTATCATACCTACTGTGGTGATCACTTTGTAAGGTATATAAATGTTAAAACACTATGCTGTACACCTGAAACTAATATAACATGTCAATTAAAATACATTTTTAAAAATATTAAAAATAAATTCAAATATGAAGTAAATGTAAAAATGCACACTGATCTCAAATACTTATTACAGAAACAAAGAATTTAAAATATTTCAGTACTAAATTTTATATTGACTACATGTTGAAATTATAGTTTGGATATATTGGATGGAATAAAATCTATCATTAAAATTAATTTCATTTTTTAAGAGATCACTAGAAAATTTAGAACCATGTGTGTGACTCCTGTTCTGTTTCCCTGGGATGGTGCTGGTCTAGAGAACTGTGGGAGATCACATGACATAACATCAGGAGACAGACACATTTGTCAGGAAAGTAAATCTCATGTTATGTTTTTTATCACAATAAAAAATCAGGCACTTGTTTTTTTGTTGTTATTTTTTAAAGATTTATTTATTTTTAGAGAAGGGGGAGGAAAAGAGAGGGAGAGAAACATCAATGTGTGGTTGCCTCTCGCATACCCCCAGCTAGGGGACCTGGCCGGAAACTCAGCCATGTGCCCTGACTGGGAATTGAACCAGTGACCCTTTGGTTCACAGGCCCATGCTCAATCCACTGAGCCACACCAGCCAGGGCTGGCACTTGTTTTTTTAAAATCTGTTAATAATCCATTCCTTTGTTATTGACATTTTCACAGAAAAAAAAACTTGTAATCAAAGGGTGAGTCACAGGTTTAGGAAAAGATACCAGGAGCTGGTTGTTTCTCGCCAGTTGTATGTCCTCTGGTGAGATCTTTAACTGCTCTGTTCGATTTCTTCATCTGTAAAATGGAGATCAAAGAATGTCCCTCACAGGAATACAAGTGAGTGCTAAATAGGTAAAGTGCTGATATATAGGTAAATGTTAGTTACTATTTCAGTTACCTTGGCACACTCTGGAAATATGTTCCTAATCATATTTTTACTATTTCCATATTGAGTTTTATTCTCATGTGAAGTTCTCTGCCTAACATTTGTTCGGATTGATAAACACTTTCAAGAACTCTTTCTATTCTCTTGAATTCATTTTTCAAGCCTCACAACAAAATTTACCATAATTGCTAATTGCCTTTAATTTAATATGCCTACGTAAACACACATTCTAAATAATAATTTTGTGTTTGATTTTTGTTTCTCTTGGTCATTCAAGTGCCTTCAGTGTGGACGGAGAATCAACACTTCTCAGGACCACTGGAATCACACAGGAACAAACAAAATAACCCATCGGTGAGCTCAGCTGTTGTCCAGTACAGGGTTACTGAGGGCAGTTTAGACAAAGAATTGCAAATAGCATCAGGACACCAACTGTCCCTTCACCTTTTGCCAAAGGAAAAAAAAAGTACAAAAGTAGGAGGATTGTTCATTGAACATAATGGAAATGCTACCTAAAATAGCCATCTGAATCTTAGAATATTAATGTTATAACACTGTGACAGCCTGACCCCATCCTGGATGGGAACAGGTCTTTAGCATAATAATAAAGCACCAAAGTTATACACCCTTGTGTAAGGATCAAGGATACACTAGGCTGGAATCAGAAACCACTTGACCATCTCTGCACCCTTGACACCTGGGTGTCACCTGATAGAGCACAGCCCTGGAAGGAGGACAGAGGGGTAGGAAAGAAAAGAGGAAGGACACCAAAAGCAGAAGGGACTGTAGGCAACATCTGAGGCTCACAAATCTGTAAGATCAAAGAGAAACCCAGTGGGAAAAAGACATGTCTCCCACCATCTTCAGCAGTCTCTGTGCTCATGACTGATGACCAATAGGATGATTATTTTATTCTGGTAAAGAAATGTATCAGTACACCAGGCATCAAAGCATAACAATAATATAATGATATTAACAGACACCATTTATTGTGCTTTCCCTACCCAGACTAGACCAATCCTCTGTGTTCCTTACATTATCTAACCCATGAGATGATATATTAGATATCTATTGCTGCATAACAAATTACTCCCATACTTAGCAATTTAAAACAATTAACACTTATCTCATGCAGTTTCGATTGGTCAGGAATCTGAGAATGGCTGGGCATTCTCAGATTGCCCTCAGAGTGGCTCTGGTTCAGGGTCACTTATGAGGCTATCATCACCTGAAGGTTTGCTTAAGGTTGGAGGATCCTCACTCACATGCCTGGCAAGGTGGTGCTGGCTGTTGGCAGGAGGCGTCAGTTCCTTGCCTCATGGGCTGCTCAAGCTTGAGGCTGCCTGAGTGTCCTCACAACACGGCACCTGACTTCCTCCAGAGCAAGGGATTCAAGAAAAGCAAGCTGCCATGTCTTCTGACCTTGCCTCAGAAGTTGCATTCTGTTATTTCCACAATATCCTATCGATTACACAAGTTGGCCCTGTTCTGTGTAGAAAGAAACTATACAAAAGCATGAATACCAAGATTGGGGATCATTAGGGAACATCGTGGAGTCTGATGAGCTCAGGAGAGTATGATTATTCATATGATACAGTAGATAAAATTGAGGCACAGAAAGAGTAAGTCAAATTCTCTCAAAGACACACAGCTGGTGCGTGGCAGAGCTGGGATTTGAAGCCTAGTCTCCTTGACCCCACTACCATGCAGAGGCAACCCTGAAGCCTGAACTGCAATTAGGTGAAAAGGTGGGGAGGGTCGGGTCTTTAGCAATACAGCATCTGTATAGTTCATTGTGTGTTGAAAAATATGGAACGCTTCACAAATTTGTGTGTCATCCTTCTGCAGGGGCCATGCTAATCTCTGTATTGTTCCAATTTTAGTACACACACTGCCAAAGCCAGCACTCCTTTAATCTTTTTAAAAGGTAAGTTTATAAGGACAATTGCCCTCCGGAAGGTGATGAGTCAGAAAAGAAGAACAGTTGAGTCATCATCCAATTCGATAAGCTCTGGAAGTTACAACAAAAATGTGTGGTGAGGGAGGAATGTGAATTTGTCCACCAGTCAAACATCTGGGTTGCACTTACCACACACATGCCAGACCCATGTGTCCCCTTCTTGGACTGTGAGGGCCTGAGAGCCATATGGTGCTCTGTGGGGCCTCTGCCAAGCACCACCCCTGCATTCCAGACCAGTCTGAGGCTACTGGTCTTCAATTTTTTTTATTGTAAATTTATTAAGCAATTTTGAAAAACTCTGTCTCCCCTACTTAAACATTATCAAATTGACATCTAAATATTTTCATCATAACTTTAAATGGTCAAGAAAAAAACAAGGTAATTTCTGGCATATTAGACAAAATGGATAGTTGCATAAAAATGTTTCCTCCTTTTATAACTAATAACCTTAATCCATTCAGAGCACACTTTTTCTGCTCCCCCCTCTCAGCCTGTCCTTTCATTAAACACCACTTGCCACCCTAAAAAAAGAGCTCACCTATCTCTACAAAGATACCTTACAGGAAATAACTAAACACACACATGAACATTTGTTTATCCTTTTTTTATCAGCTACTAAAATTTGTGTTTCTAATCAGTCCACTGATCTTGACTTACATTCAGTAAAAGGCTCCACAGGGTATTGTATAATGGATAACGGACTTTCGCTGATGCTAGCCCAAAACTCTTGTGTAGATGAAACCCCAACCCAAGACCCAGCATTGGTCATTTTGGGTACATGCTGGTATGAAGTGCCCATTCAATTCTTGCCCACTTTTCTGCACATATATTTTTCCCACTCAGGAGCTTGTCTCTTTACTCTTTGAATAGTCTTTTGGTGAACAGATATTCTGGATTTTTTTAAAATATAGTTTATTATTATGCTATTACAGCTGTCCCATTTCCCCCCCCTTTACTACCTCCATCCTGCACACCCTCTCCCACCCACATCCCCCGCTTTAGTTCATGTCCATGTGTCATACTTACAAGTTCTTTGGCTTCTACATTTCCCATACTATTCTTACCCTCCCCCTGTCTATTTTCTCCCTACTGTGTATGCTACTTATTCTCTATACCTTTCCCCCTCTCTCCTCCTCCCACTCCCATGTTGCTAACCCTCCATGTAATCTCCATTTCTGTGTTTCTGTTCCTGTTCTAGTCATTTGCTTAGTTTGCTTTTGTTTTTGTTTTAGGTGTGGTTGTTAATAATTGTGAGTTTGCTGTCCTTTTACTGTACATGTTTTTTATCTTCTTTTTCTTAGATAAGTCCCTTTCACATTTCATATAATAAGGGCTTGGTGATGATGAACTCCTTTAACTTGACCTTATCTGAGAAGCACTTTATCTGCCCTTCCATCCTAAATGAAAGCTTTGCTGGATAGAGCAATCTTGGATGTAGGTCCTTGCCTTTCATGACTTGGAATTCTTCTTTCCAGCCCCTTCTTGCCTGTAAGGTCTCTTTTGAGAAATCAGCTGACAGTCTGATGGGAACTCCTTTGTAGATGACTGTCTCCTTATCTCTTGCTGCTTCTAGAATTCTCTCCTTCATTTTTACCTTGGCTAATGTAATTATGATGTGCCTTGGTGTGTTTCTCCTTGGGCCCAACCTCTTTGAGATTCTCTGAGCTTGCTGGACTTCCTGGAAATCTATTTCCTTTGCCAGATTGGGGAAGTTCTCCTTTATTGTTTTTTCAAATAAGTTCTCCACTTGTTGCTCTTCCTCTTCCCCTTCTGGCACCCCTATAATTCGGATGTTGGAATGTTTAAAGATGTCCTGGAGGTTCCTAGGCCTCTCCTCATTTTTTAAATTCTTATTTCTCCATTCTTTTGTTTGGTTGTTTCTTTCTTCCTTCTGGTCCACTCCATTGATTCGAGTCCCAGTTTGACTTCCTATCATTATTGGTTCCCTGTACATTTTCCTTTATTTCACTCAGGATAGCCTTCATTTTTTAATCTAATTTGTGACCAAATTCAACCAATTCTGTGAGCATCCTGATCACCAGTGCTTTGAACTGTGCATCTGATAGGTTGGCTCTCTTTGTCGCTTGGTTGTATTATTCTTGGAGCTTTGATCTGTTCTTTTGTTTGGGCCATTTTTTTGTCTTGACATACCTGTTATGTAGTGAGGGGTGGAGCCTTAGGTTTTCATTCAGGTAGGGTAATCCACGTCACTGAGCTGTGACTCAATATGTGGGGGAGGGGTCTGAGAGGGAACAATGGCGCTTGCTCTGCTCTCTGCCACATTTTAGTCCCTTCCGCTGCTTCCTCCAACCAAACTGGGCCCTTCTGGTGCTGATTCCCATGTGGGTGCGTTTGTATACATTCTAGGACCCTGTGGGTCTCTCCAACGAACTCTCCTGTGAGACTGGGAGTCTCTCCTGGCACCTTGACCCCCACAGGTGTTTTCAATCAGTGTTTTGAGGCTCTATTTCTCCACACTGGGACCCTGGGTTGCGCTGTCTGTCTTGCTCCACAGTTTCACCTAGTTTATCTGGCACAAATGTGGGACCGCCCATGAGCCAGACACCTTGTGCGCTGAGCCCCTCCACAATCTGATGTCTTGCTGGGTCCACCTGCTGCCTCCTTGCACTCCCAGGCTCCAACAGCGGCCACTTTGCCACAAGTCCTCTCCACCTGGCTGCCTGACTCCACCCCTCCTACCGGTCTGGATGAATGTTTCTTCTTTAACTCCTTTTCCATACAGTTCAATTTTCTGTCAGTACTGGCTGTTTTTTGTTTCTAAATTGTTTTTGTCCTTATTTTGGTTGTGTGAGGAGGCACAGTGTGTCTACCTATGCCTCCATCTTGGCCAGAAATACAATATTCTGGATTTTGATGTAGTCTAATTTTTCAATGTATAACTTGTTTAAGAAAGCTTTTCTAATCTCAAGGATAAAAAGATATTCTCCTATATGTTTCCTGAAAATTGTACTGCTTTACCATTCACTTTTATATCTACCATCCACCTAAAACTGATTTTTAAGGAAGGTAGGGAAGGTGAAATAAATCTCCTGGTATCTGAGTGTGGTGGTTGTAAGTCAGTGCCTGCTGCTGCAGGGGACTGCCCACAACAGAACTGGGATGGGTGTGACATCCGGCCTCCCTCAAGTCATCAGGTGTGCTTTTGGGTGCTCCCGAACTAGAATAAGCATAGAGGGATTCTTATGAGTTTTTCTTTATTTGCCAATATCTTGGAGGAGAACTGATATTTTGGAACTGACTTATTTGTCTTTATTTGCCAGTTTCTTAGAAGAAAAACTGAGTGTTATGCTAACCTAAGAGACAGAAAAAAAGAAAAACCCCTTTATGGCAGAACTCAACCTTTCCCCAACTCATTGCCCCCACTCTGTGCACATAAGCTTTGAATCAATAAGATCTGTCCCCTCCAGGAGGCAATTTTGTGACCATCAGTCACCCGTGCAACAAAAGTGGCAGAGCCTCTGCCCTAAGTTTTTTACATGCAGACAGCCAAGCCTCGTAGATATTTCCATCTCAACAACACACCCAACACCATTCTCCCTCTTTCCTTACCACTGCACTGGCTTGGACGGGAGGGATGTACCCCTGGCTATTCTTAAAAGAAACCATAGACTTATGCATATAGGACAATATTTGGGGATTGATGAAGGAGTAGGAGGGGCTCTGGTTTGTGAACCAGTAGACGTCATTTCTAGTTCCAAGACCTGGGCAAGTCACCTAATGTGCCTGAGCTTTGGTTTTCTTAACTGTGGAATGAGGGATTGGGATGGACAGTCTCCATGGCCCCTTCTGTGAGATTCTGTGAGATTCAAAACAGCACTGAAGTCAAGCATGAGGACAAATGTTTCTGAAGTAGAAATTAGGCTTTGGGGGACCCCGCCCCCAAGTGTTGTGTGTTTCAATGATGACTGTTCCTGAAGCCAGTATACAATTAAAATAATAAAATCTGGGAGCCATAAAGGAAGTCCCAATTCATCTTTTCTTTTTGATGATGAAGAAACATAGAGCCAGAGTCGTCATGAGCTAATTTTTGGTTGATTCTAAGTCCTTCTACTCTCCGTCTGTTGCTCTTAGAACTAAGCCAGCTGGCTTTATTAAACTGCATTTTCCAAATGGGCAAATTGGATGATGAAAATATCACATTTAAAGTTCTCTAGCTGTGCTTTGGCATTTAATAAAAGGAAGGAATGATGTGAACTATGGTGTTTTGCCTTTTTTTTTTTACTTTTGTACCCACATTATTCAGGAAATGACAGAGAGCATTTGCTTTGTGTCCATAGCACCTCCTAGACAAGGGCAAGAAAACTAGACCCTTCCCCAGCCCAGACCTGGAACCTGCCAAAAGGTGGCAGACCATTTCCCCAAAGGCAAACTTAGTGTAGAAAGATTCATCTCGTCGCCTTTTCCTGGTGGAAGCTTTGGTGGGATGCTGAGATCTATACCAGAGAATTTTCCTTAAGCTGTACCACAGAAGGATAGGAATAATGGGCAGAAACTGGCCACATGTACTTCTGAATTTCCCGGGTGAAGTTGAGTGGTCTTATTGCAGGGGACATTGATTTCCTTCTGAAACAATCAAGGGAACAAATTTTCTTCACTCACTGAGCAGAGCCACTGTATTGGTTTCCCATTCTTCCATAACAAATTACTACAAATGATGTGGCTTAAAACAATGCACATTTATTCTTTTATAGTCCTGGAGGTCAAAAGTCTGAGTCTTACAAGGCTAAAATCAAGTGTCAGTATGGTTATGTTCCTTTGGGATTCTTCAGGGATGAGTGTTTCCCTGTGTTTTCTGGATTTTCGAGGCCTCCTGCCTCCATGACCCATGGGTCCTTGACCCATGGTCTCTTCCCCCATCTTCAAAGTGCTTTGAAGACTCCAATCTTTGCTTCCACATCCCATCTCCTTCTAACTCTTGACCTCTTC